ATCTGGCTGTACGCGCGTGGATAGAGCAAAAAGAGAGAAAGCTCATCTGTAAGTTTATCCGTGCTATCGTGTACGGTACGGATGTTCTTCTTATTTTCCAACCGGTTGGGAAACGTTCGCAGGGGCTCCGTGTTTTTACCGGTTTTCGAGTAAAATTTCGTGAAGTCGGAAGCCAAGTAAGACGCCTCGTTCTCGTCGTAAAACTCGCGGTATCGCCGTCGTTCGCCATATTTTTTCTCCCTCTTTCTAATCGTATACACGATTTTAACGATGATCGTTGTTGCTCCGCTCCGTCTTCTTCCTTTTCCTCCCAAAACCACAACTACCTCTTCAAAACCACGGTTCGGATACGTTGTTTTATTGAACAAGGAAGTTCGATGGGATTTCTGACCTTTCGCTTCTTTTTATAGAAACGGGAAATATCGAACGACTCGAAGTTACAACCGACAGAAACAGATTTTCGCAACAAGTTTCGGCTTCGGTATATACATATATATAGATAAAGAAACGTATTTCTATCGCTCTACTTTTATACTCTGTTTTTTTCTTTTTACTTTATATTCAAATACAGAGATACACGCGAAAAGCGTCGAAGCGACTCCGCTTAAACAACATTTCGGGCGTAAGTTCGCGAACGATAGCTACATCTATATCGGGAATCGCATCTATTTACGCTTTTCTATTACAGTTTTGCATTTTCATCGACCACTTAACATCCGCCACACGCGCGCCAACAAACTGTTACACGCGTAAAGTCACGTTATAAGCGTCTAGTTGTAGAAAGTACTTGGAGAAAGAAGAAACGGCGTTTGCCGAAGCTTTGTACGAGCATTAAGGGCTCTGTTTATCAATTCGATAGGTTTCAGTCACTATTTCAACCTGCTATTGGGAGAAAGAGGTCATATCGTAGACCGCGAGTACGCTTTTTATCGTGTACACCGGTGCATGATAGATAGCACATTGTAGTTGCACTTATCAAACGATAAGGTAAATTACAGCCTATGGTTAAGTTCATGTGGCACGGTATTGACAATAGCGAGGAGATTCGTATAAACTTGCTGTCAACGCTGTCGCTTCTTTCATAAAAATAATGTTATTTGACTTGCAACGACGAAACAGGAACAATCTATACCTACGCTTGTACGTTTGCGGATATCTTCTAATATAAATAAATTTCTGTATCCTACGTACGCTGTACTATCGTCTATGCTGCATCTAGTCGTACCGTATCGGACAACTACAATGGATAGAATATGGAGAACGAAACGGTATAGAAATCTGATAATATTCTAGAACATTGGAATATCATTATTCTTCGATTGAAAGGCGATATCGTGCATCCTAGTTGTCGAGTCCGTCGTACCAAGTTTCAAGAAGAGATTTCATAATCGCCACGATACAAGTAACCTTCTGGACTAAGTCTTTTTTCCAAGTCCGTATATATCGATTATACGTACGATTGCATTTTAAAATCGATACGAGAAGCAACCGTAATTGTATCTAATAAATTCTACGTATATCATCGTCTATACGCGTGATAATTTTTCACGTTCGTCTGTAAGCTAAGCACGAATTAATTAGCGGTTAATTTATCGCGACGATTATTATTCGGTCGTACTCCTCGTAAATGCGCTTCTACATAATATTCGTAGTCATTCGTAATATTTACGGCTCCTTTGACAGTTCTTTGAAATGTTCTAGCATAATTCAGACATCGTACTGCAAGATAAAATATAGAACAGTGTATCATCGTGCACAGTACCGTGCAAAAGTTTCTAGATCGTGTGTCAAATGCAAACGTTTTGTTTTTACGAACGAATATAAACGGATTTAGTATTACATTAATTAATCGTTAATTCTTCTCCATTGCCATTGTAGATGTATTTAGTCGACGTTATAAGATCCGTGATATAGACAGTTACGACTGTCGTACAGTATCGCAGACGCGTTAATAGTTTGGCAACTCTTGGCTCGATATTTCTTACTTGACTGTAACTGTAATTTGTGTATACCGTTATTTTTAGTCGATCGCATAGCCTTGTTTCCTCTATCTACAACAAAGTAATAATTTCTTTTCCTTGTCCTTTTCCCCGTCGTGTTACGCGTCGCACGTAACGTACGACATTTTCGTTCGCAATCCTCCGACGATTTAACAATTTCCAGAATAAAATATCGAGCGTCGATCGTGAAAGCTCGTCGCAAAATACGTTCATTACGATATCACGATCATCGTTACGATCGAATCGTCCAATTACTATATACCGTATAGAATTACTTGCTCACAGAAAAACCACCCCCGGTTTGGCGAACCGTGCAACCATAAGAAATCAGAAAATAGAAAATCGGTGTGCGAGAAAATTGAAAGTCGTTCGTTAATCGAAACGTAATAAATGAGACGCGAGCGTCCCAAGAACGCAGAAACGGATAAGCGAATAAAAAGCGCGGCGTGGTGCGTCTCGTGCAAGAAGAATATCGCGACAGACGTCTGATTTCGGGGCGAGCGGAAAGCGTTGACGCGGAATGATGCATCGAAATTTATTATCGAAGTTGGATTCCACGATGATCGCGCGTCTCGTCTCTCGCGTTGAGTGCAAGAGA